GGGAAAAAAAAAAAAAAAAAAAAAGGAACGAACCCTTGGGTCCCAGAGAAGGCCGGGCTATTAAGTACGAAAGCTTGGTTACAAAGTTAACCCGAAAACGTGGTTCTTCGTTCGTTATCTACAATGGCAGACTTACAGTAATTAATTCATGCGGACTTGTGATAAGATTACGAAAAGAGAAGAGAATTGTGGCCTTACCTAGGGTAAATTTCGTTTAAAATGTTCTTGAATGCAACTTCGTGTTAAACTAAACTTTCAGTCGCCCCCACTTTGAGATTGAAACCACAGGTGGCCCAGGCTCTGACACAGGCTCTGTCACAAGCTCTTTCACAATGAATTATTAAAGAGTTTGTGTTGTGCTTTAGTTGGACTTGCTTTTGAGCTCCGTAAATATAAAGTTGTGTGAAACAATCAAGGAAATAAAGTCTTACCTTCATAGAGAGTAGTCTGTGCTGTACTTGTCGCGATTTGAGGCCGTTTTGCTGTGTTTCAGCTTAGTGTACTAGCACTACCTCTTAATTGGTAGTGCTAGGACGATGAATGCTGAATGCCCTTGATTTTGTTCCCAAAATCAAGGGAAATGCATCTCCGAGAGTATGCATATTTAAAATTTCCCGGAGGGTCCGTGCTAAAGGCACGCCAGAGTGGGCCTTCGACCCAAGTACCCGCCTATCATTGCTAGAATTCCGCTTGTTAAAAACTTTAGCTACATCTCTGTAACGTGCATTGTTAGTTTCCTATAATAGGTAACCTTGTTATACCTTGTGACCTTAAAGTACGAGGATCTAGAGTTTTCGTTTGCAGATTGCGCCTGTTGTTTCAGCCTATAGTTCACAGCAAATGGAAAGCTAAAGAAAAATCAAAGGCAAATTTTAAGCACAAATAACTTCAACACACGCTGCACTTTTTTGAACTCTCAGAGTTTAAGTATCGGGGATTCCACAATTAATGACACTTCAGACTTTGTAAGCGAAGCAAAGCGCCACATTTTAAATTCTCATCAAGGGAGGAAGTGGTAGCTTTTAATTTGATAGACCACTCTGTTTCTTCTCCTGCTGACAGCATTCTCTTACAAGTAAAATTTTAAGACAATAATTCAAACATCTATTCCCATTTTAATAAATATTTCACATGGAATCATACAAACAGATGAAGGCTAAAACTGATATTCCTTGTTAATGCCTACTGCAGTGCTTGCAATTCAAACACATGGTCACTAGAATATATTGCTTTTTATAGTAATTATTCACGTATTTTCAGCTGCTTGTTTTCATTTAAACAAGGAAATAAACAAAGATACTCACAAAGATTGACAATTTATCTAAACAGTTTTTCTTGTTTTGAATCATTTTTTGTTCATCTTTATATAGGGGGGGGGGGGGGGGACCAGAGCAAATTAACTTGTGGCAAAACCTAGTTTAAAAAATCTGAACCTGCAACAGCACAGCACAACATTTATCCACTGCATTTCTTAATACACCTAATTATTATTGCATTATTAATTAAAACTTACAATATTTTTGGTTTAAAGCTTCAATAAACAAAGTTTGCAAAAGCAAGTGAAAAAGTTTCCTTCCCTTTTTTCATGTAAGACCTTCTTTAAGCCCATTTCTCCATAAGAACCCAAAGAAAAACTAAGCTAAGTAAATACACAACAGTGATTTTTCAAATGGGGAACCAAATAAGACAAAAATAATATTACATTTACAAACCTTTCACCCCATAATAATTTGCAGCAAACCACTTCTCAAACCCTTCTGCTCTGTGGCAACCATTATTGGTTCCATGCAGTGATACTTTATTTTATGGTTCATTCAATACCATGAAACTCACAAATAAAATGACAATTAAAAAATACCTTACACAATACCACAGCTCATAAATCATCCTTCTAACCCTTAATTTAATTCGCAACTGAGATAAAAAAAAAATGGGAAAAAAAGCAATAGAGGAGCAAAGTAGCCCCTGATGGACAAAGAATTTGGCCCGTTTTTAGAATTGCAAAAAACAAGGTTTTTTGGATTCCTCTTTTTCTTCTAACAGAGTCTTTGAGAGCAAACAACCTCGCAGACTTATAGAGATCTAAAACTACTATGAAGGTGGAAAACTATGGACTTCTTTTAATTAGTTTAAAGATGGCTACTGACTCTTGTCAAAAGTAGTCAATCTCTCCAGACTCAACTTCACATTCTCAAAAAAAACTATTTACATTAGCTGGTGCAAAAATAGCTTTATTTATTTCAAGGCATCATAAGTCCAACCTATCAAAGTTAAGCGGCGCCTGCGCCAAGATTCTACTGAGCCAGGATCCCACATCAACTTGTTTTTCTTCGTACCTGAGGATGAAGGGATGCTTGAGCAGCTCTCTGTACTTTGGTCTTCTGGTGACATCTTTGGTAAGGCTAACAAAACAGAAGACACACACAATAACAATCATTATTACACGACTCAGGCAGTCAGAGGGCCAATAACTAAAATCAACCAATCAAAATGCCCTATTGCCGGTCTAATATTCTCTAAGTATTGGACCGGGCACTGTCCCGAATGGCCCTGAATGACACCACACTTGTGTCCCTTTGAACTTCAATCATATAATAAATCTCTTATTAACCAAGCTTGCTCGGGACCATACTGGAAGAATACCGGTCCTTGGTCTTTTTTGTATGGACCGAGCTGTGCTCGGTTCGTACTGCCAAGACCTCAGGCCAATATTCTCCCAGTATGGCCCTCCCACTGGGTTAATAAGATATATTTATTAAAAACTGGATCATTGGATAATGCAATGCGAGACTTTTTATTGGCTTAGCCATTATGGGTATATGAGCCAATATACCATAATCCAATATCTGTACATTGTAACATCCGGTTTCTTCTTGCAAAATAAAGTCGAGAAGATTTGTCTAATATCTTGGGGGCACTTTTCTTTTTAAATAAAACAATTATTCCACTCACGTTTGTTGGATATGAGATGATTATAGCCATATGATTATAGCGCTATGCACCTCATTGGCTATCTATCATCTCATATCCAACGCGCGCTCGTGGAATAATTGTTAAATGCATTAGAACTTAGATCAGTAGTTGTGGTCCTGCCTCTGAAATCATAGACCTTGCCCTACAATTTTTCACAAACTTATTGTTTGTTTACTGTTAAAAAGATAGGAATTTGAATTGAGAATTAAAACTTAAAACTTGTTAAACAGCACCTGCAAAATTCATGAAAAAAAATTCATTAAAAAAAATATTGTTTGAATATGGCACAAATTCTTCTGTTGATTGCCTCAACAAGTTTTGATGCTACCAATATTATTTTACTCACCACACATTTGTGAAGGCAAGCATTTCATCTGAAAAGTTTCCTCCATCTTTGTTAGACAAGCGAGGTGGGTCTCCCTTCACAACCTGAGTCAGCTGATCAAAGACACTCTTCCATTTGGGATAAGGAAATTTTCCAGTGGCAAGTTCAATCTGTGATTTGATATTTAAAACAATCATCCTCAATTTAAAAAAAAGTAATAAGCATCTCTTTGAACTTCATGCTGTCTAGCCTTGTAATAATCACCCATTACAAGGTTGTTATAAAGTGCAGATTTTCCTAAGGGTAATCACTTGATGTCTTGATGTTTGTCATGATTAGAATCAATCAAGGAATGAAATACAGACAGTCTGATAATCATCTAGACAGCTAGAATTAAATGATTAGTACTTCTTTCAAGCTCAGTGAATTAAGGCATTGGAGAACACACTGAATTTTATTTTTGAGGATTACTCCACCTCCACCAAATCACTTTTGGTATAAAATGCTTGCTGATCATCATAAGTGAATAGAATTTTGCTGAACACCCTAAGATGATGTGGAAGTGTTTATCCAAAACTATTTATCATAACTGTTGAAAAAATAATCAACAGCTAACTTGAACCTACCAAGGTTATTCCAAAGCTCCACACATCTGATCTGATGTCATAACTTCCTTGTCTTGATGACATAGGATCTATCCTCTCAGGCTATGAATGATTTAAGAATTAAATTAATTGACCAGTTTGATGAGATAGAACAGACAACAACTGTTTGACTCCCTTTTCTAGGAATAGAATAAATCTGTAATACCTATAGGGCACGTTTCTCTTCACACCTGTCTACCTTGAGAAAAGATTTACGNGAGGGGCAGGGAGTAACCCTGTGATACACTAGCATTCCATCAAGGGGCTTCCATGTTAAGGAAACTGGGATATACTTCAGCCAGCAGGCCACTTGGCTCAAGTACAGACTGAACCTTTAACTCCTAGAAGTGATTAACATGTAAATTCTCCCTTTCATATCCATATATTGTTCTGCAAACAGGTAATGAGAATGCTTAAACTGATCAGGTAGGCATTGTTATCTTGATCTAACATCAAATTCTCATAACTCATTCAAAGGGAAACTTGTGCCAGCTAGAGGGGAGAATTAACAATCAGATCTGGGGAGTTAAAGGGTTAACTTCACTTCTGCGTGAGAAAACTACTTTCTATCTCCAACTGCTTGAACAAACTAGGATTGGAAACTACCACTGCATAATGGCAGCACCACAGATAAATTACACAAATTTGTGCCTTCAGTGGAAGATAAGAAAGCAAAAAATGCAAGAAAAGAAGTGTGGAAATGTATCACATGTATGTTGCTGAAACACCTTCTTTCAATAGTGAACATGAGATGTATAAAGGAAGAGGGCAAGTGCCACAGAGATGGTAAGGTAAGTTTCTTGAACACAAATTTTGGGCTAGAATGCATTTTCCAGCTAACTAGCTGATAGTTGATGTTGATCCTGAAATTAGAATATTTCTTAAAATCTGATCACCTTTGAGGTCTACTCGATTATTTTACCACACTGTAAATAATCCCTGTTCTATACATGCCCAAAAGTATACATAAATTTAATTATTTAATTACACAAAACACATGACCTACCGCCATGTAAGGCTTGCATCCTGCATCTCTTGTCTTGGCAATGGAGTCAACAAGTTGGCCACTGATACCAAAGTCACAAAGCTTGATATGTCCTTGAAGATCAAGTAAGATGTTGGAAGGTTTCACATCTGGAAGAATAAGGACATATTAAAATAATATGTACACCACACCAACAACTTAACTTGACAAGACAAAGAGTTGACTAAAGGTGAAAGATTGAAAAAAAAAAACAAACAAAACACTGTTGTTATATCCATGAGAAAAATTTAGGAACAAACCTCTATGAATGATATTAAGCATGGTTTTAAGATAGTCCAGTGCTTTTACAACCTGTAAAAAAAAAAGTTTGTTCCTTTCAACAAACAGGTTCATGCCCTGTTTTAAAGAACTTTGCAGAAAAACTACATTCCACATGTACAAAAATCAATAATGAGAAAATAAAAAAAACTTTATTCAGACTGATAAGACCAATCAGTAGATCCAGAGGGAAACACTGATGCATACCAGTGATTAGCATATAGAAGATATTGGACTATAAAAATGAGTGGGGGGGGCCCAGACAGGAAAATTTTTGGCTCAAGGTCATGACATACAGAGTTCAGATCTCAATGCAGAAAACAGAAACTTACTGCCAATGAGGTCATTCCTAGAATGTCTTCTGGTATAGTTTCCATTAGAACTCCATAAATATGCTTGTAACACTGGTCAAATGAGGTGCGCATCAATTCCATGCAGATCCATGCATCACCCTACGAGAGAGGCCAAGATATGTAAGAGAACAATGCAACTTCAAACCCAAGGTGTTTTGAAACATTTCCTATGGGAACACTTGGACCATGATATACAACTAATACTATAGACTCTAGGTGATTATCTCCAAGTAATTCTTGTTTGGGTTCATAATTTTCTCTATAATGGCCATTCCTTGGCAGAACAAAGTGTCTGCTGTGGAAGGGTGAAAGTTGCCATTTGAAGGTTTCAATAAAACTTAAAAGAATGAATTTGCCAAGCTTGGGTGTAATAGGAAGGTGGCTGTCACTTGAGGTTAGACTGTACCTTCACGGAACCGGTTCATAACAACTGACGATAAGCAATAACTCAAGCTCGCATTTGCTCCAAAGCTACATTGTTTTGTACACTTTGCTCTTAAGAAGAAAAGTGAGACTGTAAACAGTAATAATATTTAAAGAGAGAACAATTCTAAGGACCTGTACCTCAGTAAAAAGAGCCCCATAAAACTTAACGATGTATTTACAATCACTGCTTCGCATGACAACATCCAAATCCATTAAAAGCTGTTTTTGCTCTTTCTCGTCAACTGTTGAACGGATTCTCTAAAAGGAAAAAAAAAAACAATATAATTAAAAACTAAAGTTGTAGATTGATTCTCATAAACTGGGCACAACTGATTCCTTCTAAAAGATATTGTCACATATATAATAAATATATCTTATTAACCAAGCGTGAGGGCCGTACTGGGAGAATATTGGCCCGAGGTCTTGACAGTATGGACCCAGCACAGCGAGGTCCTTACAAAAAAGACAGAGGGCCGATATTCTTCCAGTACGGTCCCAAGCAAGCTTGGTTAATAAGAGATTTATCATACGACTGAAGTTCAAAGGGACACAAGTGCAGTATCATTCAGGACCATTCGGGACAGTGCCCAGTCCAATACTGAGAGAATATTGACCGGCAATAGAGCATTTTGATTGGTTGATTTTAGTTATTGGCCCTCTGACTGCCCGAGTCGTGTAATAATGGCACAATAAGACCTCAGTGATTTGCCCATTCATTAGAGGGTAGCAAAAGGGAAGAGAGGGGATACTGATCCTGTTTCATACACAAATTTTGTAAAAATTAATGCCTCATCTTTATTTAAACAACATTTCACCTTTCACGAGTTCAAACAGGAAAACTTCAAACCTCACATAATCTTGCCTTTCTATAAAATTCACAGATTACATATTAATCTTGTGTCATTTATAATCCCTTTCCCACTTAGGTACTGTATTGTTAGACATGTTGTTTGTGTTGGGTGACAGCAATAAACAAGAAAAAGAGGTCATCACACCACTGAAGATGTTTTCATCACAAGAAAAACTACAGTAGGGCCCTGTTCTATGGCTGACAGCAAAACTTCTTAAACAAGTAGATAAAGCTGTAGAAATATGAACCTAAGGATAAATTTACCTTCACTGCCATGTAGGTGTTGCTTTCCTTGTGCAACATCTTATTCACAGTGCCATATGCACCTCTGCCAATCTCACCACAATCATCAAGATCTTCTGAAGAATATTCATAATTCTATGATGGAATTTCACAAACAAAAAATGCATATAGTAAGAAGATGCAACAACAACAAGAATATCATGGGTACTAACCCTTATCTAAAGAAATTATTTAATGAAATCAAAATAATTTATTGATTCAAAGTCTTGTGATGAGCCATAAATTTTCATTTCTGCTCATTTCCTCTCCCCAACCCTCCTTGTGTAGCTAAGTGAATAATTTGGGTGTTTGCCTGTTCCTTTCGTCAGGCTCCTAGCTCAACACTTAATCAAAGTTGCCACTTGGCAACCTAAAGGCAAGAAATAAAATAGAATTCTGATCCCCTGCAAAAAAAAAAATATTTGTAAAATATTACCTAATGTGCCAAACCCTCATTCACACCACTATTCTTTGAAGTAGGCAGTATAGCTGTATGGCTTTCATTCGAGTTTGTGTGTGACATCTCAAGGTTTAACCCTATCCGCTCCCATGATCTCATTACAACATTCTAATTCTCCTTTTTGTCTGCCATACAATTCTTCTAAATACGATTTTGGAGAATTTAGCACCGGTTTAATTAGTAATCCCCTAATTGATATTTGTCTTTACTCTAATTGCTTGTCTGCCTGATATTGTACTATTGTAAGAAGAAATTCTGTCTTGGTCACTCGAGAGCATAAGGATTAATATACTCAGGAAACTAAGGAGAAAAGGGCTCATTTCATTGGAAGAAAACAACACTGCATGATAAATTTTTAGGAAATCTTTCTATCGTTTGTGCTCTCTCAACTTTCCAGTGTGCTTCGTATCTTGATGAGTGCATTCTGACACATGTCAGAATGCATTCACTTGCATTCTGACACCGCCTCCCGGTTAGCTCAATGGATAGAGCGCTGGACTGTAGTGCGGGAGGTCGAGGGTTCGAGCCCCGGCCGGACCAACACTCAAGGTCTTAAAATAGTTGAGAAGAATTTGCTACCTTTCTATAACATCAAGAAATGGTTAGATATTCTAGTCTTCTCGGATAGGGACGAATAAATGGAGGTCCCGTCTCCTGCAGGGTTGGGGTAGGAGACGTTAATTTCCCACACACGAGATTACTGTGTGATGGATGTCCTCCCCTGGGGTGGGATGGGTGGGTTAGGACAGCAGGTCTACATCAGCTATTACAGCTGCCAATTAATCAACCTGCTTAAACAAATAAATGAACTTGAACTTGAATGAGCCAACTGTTTGATACACATGTAATAAAGAGCAATCAAGCCAGCACAGAAAAAACCATTCTAACTAAGAAATCACATTATAAATATAACCAAATAAGGCCATGGTCCACAGAAGTAAGCCGTAACTTTACCAAGTGCAGAAAGGAAACTTGAAAAAAAGTTCAGGCTTTGATTGGATTCAAACCCACACCACCAAGTTACTAGTTAGGTGCTACACACCACTGAGCTATGAGGCCACACATTGGGAGAAGGGCAAATTTTAGAAGGTTCTCCTATCCTTTAGAGGAATCTGATATACAGTAATTTGTAATGAAATTTACCTCATTACAAATCATTATGATAACAAATTACATCACACTAATTGAAGAGATAATGTTTACTGAGTACAAGTCACAGCTTACATGGTCTGGGGCAAATGACAGTTTTCCAACAGCTTTGTGAGTTCTGAGTCTCTCCCTTGAAAAAAAAAAGAGTGTAAACAAATCTTGTTATACAAAAATTGAAAGGCCTCATCAAAAGGATAAATGCCTTCCCAACAGATTAGTGTTAACGTTAACCCTTTACACCCTAACTTCATACTGTTATCTCCATACTGTTCTCTATACATTTCCTAAGGTGCAGTCAAGGAGAATTTGTTTTTCAAATTAGAGCTTCTTTAGTTGATGTTCATTTTCTTTAATTCTCCTGACCTTAATCAGGGCTCAACACTAACTTTTCAACTTACTAGATGTTACGACAATTTCAGTCTGTTTACTAGCCAAACTGACGAGTAGAAATTGAAAACCACTAGCCAAAACTGAATTTCTACTAGTCTGTGGCTAGTGCTGGCTACCATTAGTGTCGAGCCCTGCTTAATGTGTGATTCAGGGGTGACATTGTACGGAGAAATTAGATGCTAGTCAATCTTTAGGAGGGGAAGGGTTAAGAATGCAATATCAGAAGAATGAAAGCAGTATGTCGCGAATTAATATGTTTTACATAGCTTTATTATCTATGTTGTGGTTCGAATTTTTCCTCTCTTTAATATTTTATTGATTTTAGAATAAAGGGAAAGGCTAGACACTAACTTTTTAACTTACTAGCCAAGTGGCTAGAGATAACTTAGATGTTATAACAATTTCAGTTTGTTTACTAGCCAAACTGGCTTGTGGAAATTGAAGACAACCATCCAAAACTGAATTTCTTCTAGACTGTGGCTACTTGGCTACCATCAGTGTCAAAGCCCTGAAGAGGGTAAGTTTCTGAAGAGACTGTGATGCTGCATAAGATGATCTGGTTTTATCAATAGAGTTTACAATGTAAATTGGCCACTGTAAAAGCATTTCCAAAGCTGATGTTTCAAGCATAGTACAGCGCAACACCTTGAGGAAAAATCTTCTGGTTTGAAAAAATTTAGACCAGGTGATTAGATTGAATCACAAACCTACATTGATGGCATTATAAAAAACAAAAAAACAAAAAAATAAACAAAACAAGGTCTTTTGAGTGGAATTGTTTCCACATTTCACAAAAGAAGTCATAAAAAGAATCTGAAAGTTAAAACAGTGACGCTAATGCTGCACAATGACAGCTGCAGTTAAATTTAATTCACAATTAATTATGATACATTTAAAACCAGGTTACTTTGCATATTGTTGAAGTCGCGCTCTTTAGTTACACAAACACCGACAAATGTCTTGCTGGTCTATGATAAAATTGTTTGTGTTCATGAGGAAGGAAGTTGCAAATAGTAATTCGATCGCTTATGTTAAATATTTATCTTACATATTTGATTGAAGCGGTGTTGGTTGACGCGTAGTGAGTCCTGCGAGGTTTAACTTTCTTTTCTCTATTCCACCTTGGAAGTCCAGTTTTAGCTTCTCTCTTGACAATCTGCTGCCTATGAGAGGAAAAAATGCCATATTTGAGGAAGAGACAAGTTCGAATAAACGCACGCCTCAATTGTAAAGCTGGCATGGATGATAGAACATTTCATACCAATGCACAACAAATTTATACACTAACTTACTATATTGCAAACAATATCACCTACAATTAAAGAACCTTTTCAACGCTCCAAGATTGGATATAAGACCAGCGCTTGTAAATCATCAAACCTGTTGCTATATGTACGCCGTTTACAGGAAAGAACATAAATTTCTTATCTTACCCGGTGAATTTGACGCCATACCCGCCAAACAGCGAATAAAAGAAGAAACACAGCAGAAGTTTAGTCCAATTTTGACGATTTTCAGGCAGCTGTAGGACTATTTGATACTTCTACTCGTCTTAAAATGCAATCATAGTAGAAAAAGTCTCTAAAATGAGATTGAAAGAACGGAGAAAGTCAAAATTTGTTGGTTGAAATTTCCGACGCTACAGGAAATTGATGCTGCGCATGGGTAAATCGCGGCTTAGGCTCCAGTCTTTGCGCATCTTTCAATATGGCGGCTTGGGTAAAAACAAGGAAGGTTCGCTTTAAATATTATTCATGAGTCCTACAGATACGTTTTGAGCGCTTTTTCTTTCACTTTCAATTTAAGTGGGGAAGGATTATTTGGTTTCTCGTATTTCGCCGGAGATGTTTGGAAAAAATTAGTGGAAGGATCGATATGACCTGATTAATGGGCCATTCCAGGTTCGCGGATTGAAAAGTTTCTATTGAACAGAACTTGCCATCTTCGATATGCCTGCCCTGGTGGCTTTCAATCGCCGATGGCGTATTGGCAGCGATGACTTGTTTTTCCCAGCAGCGATAGGAGTTATAGTTAGACTAGTTTGGTGAGTATATGCTGGTATATTGTAGTAAAAATGGTAGGACAAAATTTGGACTCAAAACTATTTCTGATGACGTCCAGTCACAGGACATACCTCCTAAGAGATTTAACGCTTTACACCCTGAAATCAGAATGCATATTCACCATACTGTCCTCTATACATTTTCTAGGGTGCTGAATAGGGGAATTTGTTTAAAATAAAAAACAAATTATGTCAGTGATAATTTTCTAATGCATTTTCACTGCATTACCGCAGTAGGGTAGGACTAGAACGGAACATATGCGATCCATGCGAGTAGTCCACCCATTAAATCCTACCCATCCCACCCAAGGGAGGACATCCCTCACACAGTAATCTCGTGCGTGGGAAATTAACGTCTCCTACCCCTAACCCTGTAGGAGACGGGACCTCCATTTATTCGTCCCTATCCGAGAAGACTAGAATATCTAACCATTTCTTGATGTTATAGAAAGGTAGCATATTCTTCTCAATTATTTTAAGACCTTGAGTGTTGGTCCGGCCGGGGCTTGAACCCTCGACCTCCCACACAACAGTCCAGCACTCTATCCATTGAGCTAACCGGGAGGCGGTTA